TCCTTATCAGCCTCCTGTGTCTTCCCTATCAGACCCTCCTTGCATTTTCTTGATGATAGAAAGGTGCCCATAAAAAGGAGGAACTGATCATTCTTACAAGAATTTTGTATTTCAGTCTACTTTGGGAGGTTTTTTCACTTGCCAGGTATATCATAAATCAGTGTCCTTGTCCCTGCTCCTTTTATTTCAATCTGGGATTTACTAGGAAGTCTTCTGGAAAACTGCCTCGAAGGAAATTTAACATAAACGGGAAGGCATCACTTTTGGAATCAAGTCAAAAAGACAGTGACTTGATGCGGTTCCAAGGAAACAGATGCAGATTCTTATCTATTTATACTATTAGTCTATCCATTATTTTGCCTGGAGATGCTTAGGGCTCACAAAGCATCATTGTATCTTGAAATTTACACATGGTCTTCTGAAGTTTTAAGTTACACAATAAACTTAGCACAGTGATCAGTTTTGTCCTGTGCTTCTCATTAAAATGGCAGCTATAAAACTTTTAACAAAACAGCCTGTGAAGTAAACCAATAATTTCTGCAGGATCTCTTTCTTACATATTGCTTAAAATGAAACAATGTCCTTCTAAAAGCCACTGTCAAATGTCTATGGTAAGCTAGATGCCAGTTTTTTGCCAAGTGCTGTAGTACATGGGGAGGGAAAACATATACTGAACCTAAGCAAAGCAGATTTTGAAAAATGGCAAAGAGGAAAAATAACATACATAATTGAACAATACAGTCCAAGTATATTAACAGCATAAAAAACAGGTAGTCAATTAATCAATTGGTTTTCTGATTTTTATAGCAGAAACAATAATTAAGCTCCCAATATCTACTATTTGAGGTGATTGAGAAATTATTAAACCTACACAGAGTCATGTGGAACTGAATTAGGCTTTCTTTGCGTTCAAGGGTCTGTTCTTGAGAATTAAGACTGAGGCATACAGATTTTCTTAACTTCATTTTAAAATCTTTCCAGCTTCTCGCATAATAATATTCCTAACATTCTTAGGAGGGAAGGGGAAAAAAAAGGAGATTTGGGACAACAGTGTTGTGTTTGTTGATAAATTATTATAGATTTGAAGAGCTACAGTCTGGTAAGGACATCATTTTGACTGTCCTGTCATAAGTCTCAGATCATTACATTTCATCTGATTTTCACTATATTCAACCTAACACCTTCCATTTCACTCAATTGCACAGGATAGCTGGTGTGTATATATTGTATCTGTTCATATAGAACTGTACAAGTGAATAATAAGGTTTAGCACTGGAATGAGAGTTAGGATTAGCAAATAAGAGGATGCAACCTAATGAACTGAGAACATATTTTCCAAGGGAGCAATTCACCTTAAACAAGACACTGTGGGGTGTTTCTTCTTACAAATCAAGGTTAAGGATGGAAAATTCAGTCTGAATTTAAATCTGAGGGCTAACTCAAGAAGTTAGTAGATTAAAGCAAGTTAAATACAGTAGTGATTATGTTCTAAGGAGCCTGCATACTCACAGGAATGAGACTACCTTGTTCTTTGAGGCTTCTCACAGTCTAGAACTGTCAGGTATCACCTAGATAGGTTTGGCTTAATGTTAGGAACAACAAGATGGTTAGAGAAAGGGTAGAAAGAGGAGCTTCATCAGGCTAAGAAAATAATTTTAACATTCACAGAAGTGGTGCTTGCTCATCCTCTTTTCCTCAGCTGAGCTTGTAGTACTCCTACTACAGCAGTAGTCACTGCTAAATCAGACATGGCCCCACATAGCTGCTGAAACTGAAGGAGATAAAATGATTCCTCAAACAACATTAGTTTTCCATTTGTGCAGGAGCTGTGCAATTGCACAAGAGTTCTAGTCTGAGCTGATCCCTACAATGAGCCTTAACTGGAAGCAGAAACACTGTCAGCCTCAGAAATAATGTTGCAGGAGGAACCCGTTTTGCTTAAGCCCTTCAAGCATCTCTCATCACAGCATTTAAACTGTTTCTTAGACTCTGCCTCTTCAAATATGTCCCTGTATAGGCTGCTAGTTTAACATTAGTCCTGTGCCATATTCTGCCCCAAAACAAAAGTACAAACTGCTGTTAAAAAGATACACCTGTCATCAATAAAGGTGTGGATATTTCAAATTAATTTTTCCCTTTACCCAGCAGTGCCTAGCCATATCCTTATAGTTCTAACTAAACAGAAACACTCAGACAATACTCTCAGGCACATGGTGTGATTCTCAGGGATGTCCTGTGCAGGGCCAAAAGTTGGACTGGGTGATCCTCATGAGTCCCTTATAACTCTGAATATTCTGTGATTCTGTAAGTAAAACTATTGCAAGGTTCTAATGTCAAGTGTTACTGTTGGCTCAAAGCCTCACTGCTTCAGGCTAGCTTCTCCACAGATCTAGGTTGTGAATAGATGCCTGGAGTGGTCCAGATTCATACCAAGTCAGAGAAGGAGATACCATACTATAGCAAAGAAAGAAGCTCAACATAACAAAAAGCTCAAAGACAGTTTCGGGAGCCAGGAATTACCCAGAGTCCTTGGCCTCTGCCCACTTCCAGGACAAAGACTAATGAAAGGCCAAGTCAATGGATATGCTTAAGGTTCAGAAAACTGAAGCTGATGAACTAATGGATATTTTTCAAGAAATACAAACGGTCTAAGCCAGGAATAGATTTTTAGTTTACATCTCCTCGAGCTATTAATTTTGAAGTTGAAGGCACTTTGCTTGAGGAAAGGCTGTTCTTACAATGAAAGTTGTGTTTATTGTTTGGTTAAAGATGATGCACTTTTCTGCTGTATAGCTGAGATTTCACTTCAAGGTTTAATTCAGAACTAGTGCCCCATGCCATCAGAAGAAACAGCAAGTAGACTCAAGCCACTGCCCATTCTCATGAGAGGTTGGCAGCAGCTACCTGTTTAGTGAAATCTACTTCAACACAGTCCCTGATCCAAAACATATACTAGAGCTTAGTACTAGACTCGTCCAACCTGCTACATCCCAAACTAAAGCAGACTCGTACAAAGAGGCACGTGTCCTTAACCTAAGCTGTAGTCTACTCCTACCAAAAAAAACCCCAAAGCCAAACAAGAGAAAAATCCCCAAACCCCACTTTTTGACTACTTTATGCATTAACCCTAATCTTAACCCTAATCCTAAACTAAACCACCAAAATCCAGTCACCAAGACCTGTGTCCTAACAATGCCTAGTATAGGTCATGGCACCTAGGATTCAGTCTGATCACATTGCTCACAAAGTGCTAAAGCATAAATGTTTTATACTAGTCATTCTGAATGTGTGAGGAAAAAAATCCTTTATAGTAGTCCACACTTAAAAATTCTCTTTGCATGTGGAAAAAATTGCTAAGCTATTGCAGGAATCCAGAAGTGCGTGTGGGTTCATGTGTACATGTGTGTGTGTCTCTGTGTACGAAAACTGTTTCCTCTATCAGAGGTAGTTCGTGTTTTTATCATTTCCCACTGGAAAGGGCTTAAGCTAAAGAATTTTTAAATCATGTGTGGGCAAAATAACACCTCTGTTTGAAACCAAATGCCTATCATCTCACCATTTCTCACAGTAAGTAACAAGTGCTACACACTCCACTCCAAATAACTGGCATTATACTCTTTCCAGCCTAAAAGTACTGTGAAATATTAGATGTAAATTTACAAAAGTGCTTAGGCACTACATGCCATGTAATTCCAGTTTCAGTGGGATTTTTAGGCATGCACTGACAGTTTATAAACAACATATTGTAGCCCTCAGGTCAGGCTGTGCATGGAAGTCTGTCTCTCAACTGCTAGGGTGAGATGCCAGTCACTTCTCGCCATACCTCCATGCACATGTGCTTTAGTGGGGAGGGAGAAGATGGTCATGCAGGCTGGAACAAAGCTCTGTGACTTGCAGCCAAGCGTGGAGCTAACAAACACTGCTGTCAGGGCTACAGGGTACTCTGTGCCTTCTCACATAGCTGCTGTGGGACTGGCTCTTACAACAGCAGAGCAGACATGGCATCTGTTTTGGAAGGAAGTCTAGTTAGTATTTTCTGAAGCCTAAGTCTGATGGATAAAGAAGAGAGTATGTGAAGATTTTTGTTTATATTGTTAAAACTGCAAGTGGCATCTGCTTAAAGCTAATTAGATGCTGAAAACTTTAAGACAAGGATCAAATATGATGTGCAAAGTTACAGTCTAAATCCAGTTTATGGCATGGCTGTTGTCACAGAAATTGTGATAAATTTGTGTCTGTATGTAGACAAATATATGTGGTGTATGACAAAACCTTTTTTCTGTTATTAATTTCTGTTCAGTTGCTTGTATTTTGTTAATGAACATGAAGAGATAAAATTATTTTGGAGAGGGGCTCTAATGTAAAACAAGCAAACATTTTTATTTAATCCAAAACACACAAAGAATATATGTTTCTGCATACAACTTACAACCATGTTTTGAAAATGTAGCAAGGCAAACATGGTTTATACCTATATGCTATGGCAGAAATCCAATATTCATCTGCTGTTCATATTGCAAGAAAATGAGATCATTAAGGTCAGAAAGAACAGCTGCTTTAATTATAACACCCTGATATATCATATCAAAGTTTTCATCATCTCACACAAACTCTGAGAACATACTCCAGGGATTCATTTCTCTCATCCTGCTTTTCCTTCGGAAGGAGACTACATAAGTACGCTCCAGAGCACTGGTTGCTTCGTGTGGTGCGATGCTGTATAAAATTATTTTACCCCAAGCTTGATAATGCTAAGACAACTCTTATTAATCTACCTTTTACAGTCTTTATTCCTCTTTCTGTGGTGGCAGCAGTAGGGGAAAATATTTTTGACAGCTGGGAAGCTGCCTGCAGGCTTCATGGTCCTGCTGCCACACGTCCCCCACAGGCCTCTGCTCAGGAGTGCTCAGTACCCACACCTACAGCTGGCAACACTGCTCTGCCTGAGGCACCCAAAGGTATCCCTTCTTTAAGGGCATGGCTGCTTTGTGTTTTAACAGATGCTATGCTTCTGGTAGCGGAGAGATTAGAGGGACCATTCAACATTGAATCAGTCATGGATCCTATTGATGTCAAGATTTCTGAAGCCATCATGAACATGCAAGAAAACAGCATGCAGGTGTCAGCAAAGGTACTGTGTGAGTTGCGCCTTCTCTGTTGTTGAATGTCACGAGTGGGGGGAAAAATCATCTCCACCATTTTTCTGTCTGGACTTTGAGAAAGGTTGTCCAGACCACCAGAAATTGCATTTGCTTGTTCGACAGTTCACCAGACTGCCTTTGAATTCTTCATCTAATCAAACAAGCGTGAACTTTTCAAAAGGAACTAGAAGGGAGAAAGCTACCATTCATTAAACTCCAAATTAATAGATGTAAGAGATTTAAGGAAAACAGAGTGTGCTGAAAATCAGTGGTAACTCTGTAAGCAACATCCTGCGGAGTATGGTTGGAAATTTCCACTCGTGTCTCACCCGTGATTCTCCATATTAACTTCCAAATGCATTTTGATCTATCTAGGTCAGACTGAAGTACATTGTGTTTGAGGTGAATACAGAAAATGTTCCATTTAACCTCCTTTAATGGCCACTCGGGAAATATTACATCGGACAGTCTGTGATTATCAGACCTCAGCAGGGGAAATATTACATTGGACAGTCTGTGATTATCAGACCTCAGTTTGATAGAGTTTTGTCTGGATTCTGACACGAAGATAAACGGAGCTAATGATACCAGCTTCTTCCTTTCCATTTTTAATGTGTGTGTGTATACATAGAGCACCACAACCTCTGAACTTTGTGTTAATAAGGTCCTTCTAATTCAGTAGCAGGTAATGTCTTTGCCTTAATATTCTTCAGTGCACTGTGGCTGAAAATCAAAAGTCAACATTTTGCCAAGTTCTGTGCATTTAGGAGTTTCTATCTCCCATTTAACTCCCAGTAGTCAGCTAGGTGCTGGCCAGACTGCCTTCTGAGTCAGTGAATTTCCATTTCTTGGAAAGAAGCTGGTGTAGCTTGGAAAAATCTGGGGACAAAAGGCAGGAGGCTGAGGCCGATATGCTTCCTGCCAACTCAAAATTAGATTCATAGATTCATAGATTGTTAAGGGGTTGGAATGGACCTTATAGATCATCTAGTCCCACCCCACCATGGGCCGGGACCCCTCCCACTAGACCAGGTTGCTCCAGGCCTTATCCAGCCTGGCCTTGAACACTGGCAGGGTTGGGGTTGGGGCAGCCACTACCTCCCTCGGCAACCTGTGCCAGTGTCTCATCACCCTTACAGTAAAAAACATTTTCCTGATTTCTCATCTAAAATACCCCTCCTTCAGTTTGCACCCTTTACCCCTCATCCTATCATTGCAGTTCCTAACATTGCACTCTCCAGCTTCCTTCTAGGCCCCCTTCAGATACTGGAAGGTTGCTATGAGCTCTCCATGCAACCTTCTCTTCTCCAGGTTGAACAGCCCCAACTTCCTCAGCCTGTCTTTATAGGGAAGATGCTCCAATCCTCTTATCAACTTCATGGCCTCCTCTGGACTTGCTCCAACCATTCCATGTCCTTCTTACGTTGAGGGCACCAGAACTGCACACAGTATTCCAGGCGGGGTCTCGCAAGAGCAGAGTAGAGGGGGAGAATCACCTCTTTTAACCTGCTGGCCACACTTCTTTTAATGTAGCCCAGAATCTGGTTAGCTTTCTGGGCTGCTAGAACACACTTACTGACTCATGTTGAGTTTCTCATCCACCATCACCACTAAGTCATTCTCCTCGGTGCTGCTATCAATAACTTCCCCACCTAACCTGTAGGTGTGCCTGGGATTACCATGACCCAGATGTAGAACCTTGCCCTTCGCTTTATTGCCATCAGCCCACCTTTCCAGCCTGTCAAGGTCCCTCTGGATGGCATCCCTTCCCTCCAGTGTGTTGACTGCCCCATACACCTGCGGTTCATCAGCACTCAGTTCCACTGTCCATGTCTCTGACAAAGATACTGAACAGGATCAGCCCCAGCACCAACCCCTGAGGGACCCACTCATCACTGGCCTCCACATGGACAATGAGCTGCTGACCACAACTCTCTGTGTGCAACCATCCAATCAGTTCTTTATCCACCAAGTGGTCCACCCATCAAATCCATGTCTCTCCAATTCAGAGACAAGGATGTTGTGCAGGACAGTGTCAAACGCTCTGCATAAGTCCAGGTAGATGATATCAGTTGCTCTGCCCCTTTCCACCAATGCTGTGGCCCCATCACAAAAAGTCACCAAATTTGTCTGGTATGATTTGCCCCTAGTAAAGCCATGTTGGTTATTACCAATCACCTCTTTGCTTTCCATGTGCTTAAGCATAGTTTCCAGGATAATCTGCTCCATGATCTTGCCTGGCATAGAGGTGAGACTGACAGGTCTGTCGTTCCCTGGGTCTTCCACTTTCCCCTTTTTATGCTTTTTATGGCCCCAGCACTGCAGGTTGCTAAGGGTTTCCTTCAAGATACTTTTTACTTTCAACCTACATGACGCGTTTTGGATTTTAGAAGCAGACTACATCCTGCACGATGGGACTTTGTTCTGGCAGCAGTGATCAAGGTGTTTAACTGCCAAATTCTCTCAAATATTTTGGGAATTGAAGGCCAGCTTCAGTAAATTCAGCCCTTACCTCAAAAAAGAAACAAAAAAATATTTTCACTGAAAACTTACCCAAAGCCCAGGTGTATTTAATTTTCCTTTTCTACTTGTTTGGTTTTCACAGTTCTTCCATTAGTTGGGAAGCTGCATCCCCTGCCAGAGTCCAATGGCATCTTGGCACAAGCTCATCTCAGTACTCGTTTGTAGCAGAGCAGACTGTTTCTCCTGTCCCTCATGAATATTTTATTTGCTGTGAAGATTAACAGCAACCCCACTTGCAATGCAAAAGTTTTTCCTCTAAGAGAAACTTTAGCCAATATTTTTTTTTAATCTTGAAAAACAGAAGAGAAATTATATCAACAAAATTTATTTTATTTTCATAGATAACAGAGCTGTCTATCCTTGAGGGACCTTTGCATATTTCTGTGTGGACCATTATTCTCCTGAAATGTGATTTCCTCATGTTCCTAGGTTATATCCATCGGTTTTTTTCAGGTACTAACACATGGAAATGCTTTATTCTTAAAAAAAAAAATGAAAATAAATCATAGAAAGGCAAAGGCTTTGGGTTTAGTGCTGTGCTCTTCTATGTCATGTCAGATCTGTAGAGATGATACATGAACAGTCTTCAAATCAGTCCTCTGTTGTCTAATTTTCCCCCCTTATACATACTGACCACTTAGAGCTTACTGAGAATGACAGATACCTTGCCAGATGTAATGGGGTGCATGGAATGCAATTGCAGACCTAATGTGGGAGAAAAGCCATGCTTGTCAATTATTCTGAGATGCTGCTCAGAAAGCTTCAGGCAGGATGTTGAAATCATGATATTTTCTCTCTCTTCAGACAATTTTGTATCTTGTATTTGACTGTACCCACTGAAAAACATGGTGACTAGAAATCACAGCTATTTTTCTACAAGTCACTCAGCACCTTTTTACAGTGGGAAAATGATGACGCACTAATAATATTGTGCCTGTAACACCCACATACACATACATTATTTTTCACCACTGACATGCAGCCTTTTCTACCTCAAAATCTTGTTGATGTCTGGGAGAAGGCTCTATGCTGTATTCAGTAGAATTTTGGGCCACGTTATATTATGCTGTTTCTCTTTTAAAAGGAGTGGAAAAAATGAAAATTAACAGTTTCTTCCTCAAGGACCTCTCACTTCTTCCATCCTCTTTGTGGGCAGACCTAGAGTTCATTTAATATAAAATCTGTACATTCCTGTTTCAAATGTTTACATAAAATTGCCCTATTCCAAATGTCATTAACATTAATTTGCACTATCAATTGTTCTTTGTATCACAAAATTATGCTTTGCATGATATCAGCTGCAATTATATATTGAAGTTTACTTGAAAAAGGTAGAATAATATTTGATATAACACATCGACTGTACAGTGCATATGGTGGCACAATCAACTGAGCAGCAATGCACACTTTCCAACATTAAAAGTGTATAAAAATAGGTAAGAATGCATGCTCTCATGTGAATGAAATCTTCCATTTTAGACATCAGCAGAAAAATACACCTTTTCTAGGCATACTTTCTAAGTCTCCATTTTTATGGTTTGTCCCTCCATTCTTCACTTGATGTAGTACTGAAGGTCTTATGCAGTATAATTTCCCTAGAAATATGCACTTTCTATTCAGCACTATTTTTCTGAGAAATATTCTTGATGGTTACAGCTATACTAATAAATAAACAGGGAACAAGGACCAGTGCTTGATCCTGGGGCCAAAATGTCACAGCCTGATTCATTTCTATACTGCTGAGATCTCCTTTCTCTGGAGCTGTTTCTTTCTGCTGAGAACAAGTTGGAACAGTCCAAGAAAAAGCCAATGAGTTAACAATTAATCAGTGCAGACAGTCAAGGCTTATTGCTTGAGTTCACTCCTTGTCTTTCATTTCCTTAGAAGACACAAACCCTCTGTCTTCCACTCTTGATGGGTACACATCAATATTGAGACAGAGAATTATAGAGGTGCCACATGTACCTCTTCTATCTTTGTACTTCCAACCAAGGACATACGCACAGCCACGTCCCAGTAGCTGTCACTGCATAAAATGGAGCATCTCTGTTCCTTGACCATTAACTTTTCTCGTTTGCCTGATGATTGCAGTTGATTCTTCTAGCACAGTTCACATTAACCAGGTACTAGTGTTCCGTTAAGAACCTCCAGTTGAAGCTGAGGCTGCAGTCTTTCTCTGTTTTCTTGATATTTCCCTGCAGTTTATATTCAGCACTGGCTGTCTACAAAGTGTGACCCCAAATCTCTAGGCGTCCTCGCTGCTTACCTTGCACATCTGTCATGTCCCTGAATGTCAGCCACACAAGGTCCTTATTTTGCCTCAGGGAAAGTCCCATTCCTGACAGCTGTGATAACTGGAGATGTTTGTTAAGAAGGAGCAGTGGTCTAGAATGTCAGACCCCGAGGCCTTTCTGCTAAAGCAATCTATGTGCTTTGAATCACACCCAAGTTTCCCTTCTCAAAAACAACCACTGAAACCAGTTTCCATAGATTCATCATCCAACACTGGCAGCTATTCTTACAGAGTACCTTCCACAAACCAAAACACACAGAGGGCAAAACAATCAGCCTGGGCTACCTGAGATGCCTCCTGAGACATCAGCACCTTTTAAGAATAGGCTTTGCAATCTGGGTCTACCCAGACTTTAGTGGTGTTCCCTGAAGGTTGCCTCTGGCAGAAGTCAGGGTGCAATAGATTTACCTTGGGCTTCTGCTTATAATCTCTAAGACATGCTATCTTTTTTATTGAAATCTTTTTTTATTCGCGAGTGACACCTTTCTGGTATTTGAACATTATAGTGCCAAACTCAGTACTCAGTAAGATGTTGATTATTTCTCAGGCAAAAGTTTTATATTTTGTATATTGTTTCCCAAGGCTCAGCTCATATCCAAGACATAGTCATGGCAAACATTTACCGTATTTTCATTCTCCCTGAGGTAATTCAGGTAGACATACTCGGAGAGTCATAGCATATAAGTGCTCATTTCAATCTTGGCCAAACCAAGTGTATTTTGAGGGCCTTCACAATTTTCCCATGAGACTCTCAGTGACATTACCTTTGATTCCTCCTTCAAGTCAAAAAGTAAATCCTACATCTGCTCCGTTTTAACAACATGAATGTTTACTAGTTGACATCTGCAGAGCTTACTCATTCACAAGAAGTGGAGAAAAACTTAAAAACCAGCAGAAAATAAAACAACCTTTTTTTTTTTTTCCAAAATGGAAAAAATTACTAATTTGGTTGCATCAGCATGATCATGTCTCCATTGCTACTCAAAACACAACCTACTGGACTATTTTCTGCATTTAAAACAGTCTGGCTCTATACAGGAAAGCTTGACTGTTCTAAGTGTCATTTGACTGTCATGACAAGATTTTTCCACTTTCACAAAATCTATCCCATAACTGAGTTTCCCCTTAAAAAGTCTTAAATCTGCTTTTATCTAAGCTGATTGATGTGCCATTTTAACCTATAGATATATGTTCCTTCTCAGAAATTACTTCAGCTAAATGGATGAATGAGCTCCATGACATAGCAGACTACCTATGCATTATTTATGAGGAGGAAATCTTCACAGAACTACAACCAAGGTTCTTCTTAAAATAGCCCATGAGTTTCATATTAACAAAACCTCTTCATTTATCTGTGTTCTTTCCAGAGCTCTGTGCAGGAAAAATATAATGGCATTTCAGGTGAAAAAATCAATGCTATTCTATCTGAAGATAAAAGAGTCAATGGAGCAGAGTCATACAGAGACACTCAACTGGAAACACTGAGCACTAGCACATGGCTAGATAACAGTATGACTCAAGGCTTCATAGAGAACAAACTATACCTTCAGCAAAAATTCAAGTTCTCCTGGGAAAAGGACATTTTTACAGTATGTACATTCTAGTCCTGAAGTAAATACCTCCGTTTAGTCAGCTTGATAGATACTATTCTTCATTGGCTCTGTTGACTTGCTCTCATGGCTTGGTTCATATTCCTGACCATAGAGATCTGGTCCATTTGAGCTGTAAGTGCAGTTCAGTGAAGAATGGGTTTGTGTTAAGGCAGTCAACAGATGTCTCAGATATTCCAGGACATCACAAACTACTGTAGATGCTGATGTGAGAGAAAATGAAGGAAGCTTTTGATCTCCACTGTCTCAAATGTCTCAAATGGACACTTAGATATTTAGCTTAAATGTAGACACGCACATGTACACACCTAAATGTAGGTTTCTTAATTTCAAATGTAATCCGATGTCTCAGTTCAGATGAAATGGACTGCACCAACTATATATGTAGAATGCAATCTTTTAAAGAGAGTGGATTTATGTTACCAATTCACAGCATGCATAATTAAGCACCTGAATATTTTTCCAGAAATTGCTCAGTGTCTCTGAGTAGCATTGTGAAGAAAGTATTTCATGTGCTTCTTAGGAAGCATTTGTTAATATCAGTTATTAGCCTTACATTTTCTGTTCTGTCAGTTAATACCAGGATGCAGATTAGAAAATGTCTCTTTTGCATTCAAAGTTTAGTTACTGAATATTGTATCCGTACTGCATTTCTGCCCGGTCATTTAAAAAGTAAGTTATTTCTCCTCTGTGATGGAAAAATTACTGTCTAATTTCCTTGTCTATTATTGTCTGACTGTATGTAAATTTGTTCATATAAAACCACTTGCTACAACTACTTGTATGAACCTAAATTCCACAAGTTCTATGTTGGGTTGTTTTCAGTATGTCATAAAAACGATGAAATATAAATTATGTAGTCTTGCAGTTGTACCACATGGTCATACAAGTAGCCTAACAGCCACACATTGTGAAACTGAAGAAGAAATGCCCTCACTTTCCTTTCCCCTGAGAATCTAGTTGCATGTTTTGGATAATTGTCACATGTCTTTGTAAGCAAATACCTGATTGCTTAAGTGAGTAAATGGGATTTCACAGATACCTAAAAAAACAGTTATGTTTTCTGAGTATAACTTATCTTAATTCAGGAGTATGAATAAACTTTTGTAAATGTAACTGATGCCCTCAACATATATATTTGGCCATTTAAATTGTGCAGTATCATACGCAATCATGTATAAATCCTGAACATTAGTCTTAGTTGAATCTTCTTCACAGAATAAAAATAAGATTCTTTCCTGATTAAAAATTTAGAACTTTACAAGTTAAATTATCTTTCTTGGTTGATTAAATGATTTATTGCACAATCGTCCTCCTGACTATGGGAGTTAGAAACTCTTACATCTTGCAGTTATTCTCAAAACAAACCAAGCAGTATTCCACTCATAAAGTAAAAATCCCAGTGACCATACTGTCTCAATGGCCATACAACAGCTGACTTGCTGAACTTTGAGCCAAAACAGGATCAATCAGCTTCTTTCAGCAAATTTTGGATCATCTGGGGCTTCTAAATTAACACCAAGAAACCTAACTTAGAATTACTAAATTGCATTTTATCCTGAAAGAAACGAAAGTCACACCACCCGTGGCTACTTCAGGACAGAACCACTCAAGGCAGAAAGTCTAAAAGTCTAGAAGTGAAACACGAGTCTTTCTGGTCACTGACTCACAACATAACTTGTGGGTTGTTGTCTTATTTGCCACACAAAAACAAGTAATTTGGCCCTACAGTCAGAACATAGCATCTGCACAGTTTTCACCTCCATGAAGCTCATTCAGACAGGTTATGTCATTCATTAAGGTTTTGTAAAATATATCTCACAAGAAATTCTGACATTTAATTTTTTTTCTTCTGAATGGAGGCAAAATGTTGAAATAGCTAAAATACAGTTGTCACAAAAAGAGAAAGCTGATTCCAGAACTGAAAAAGGTGGTTTAAAGGCAAACACTAGGACCCTACTTCAAGAGAGCACATGAGAATTTTAACTCTCTGGATATTCTGTGACAATGCCTCTGGGAAATATACTTGATATCCAGTAGTCAAAAGTGTCCTCCATGTCCTTTAGTACCTACCAGATACATAATACTGAAACTTTTTTCCTAAGAGAAATATATGAAAAATTTCATAACCCTGAACATTGTTTTTATACCTAGAAAACAACCACACTAACAGAAAATAGTTATCACTATTGCCCACAGTGTGTCCTGCCCCTCTTCTAGGGAGAGATTGGTAGGGAATAAGAAAGTTATCCAGTTATAAGACTATTCCATCATTGACCTTTTCTCTGAGACTACAAATAAGATTACAAGGCTGTAGGTAGGGGTTATGAATGACCTGTGATTCTGGGTAAATACCACATTTTAACAAAACCAAAAGCAGTTATCAACTAAGTCCTGCCACATAAGACATCCTCTTGCACATTTCACTTTCTGGAAAGACAGGAATTAAGGTGCTTTCAGATATTAACTTCTCATAATAATCACCTTCCTAAATTAAGGGGGGGTTTAAGGTCCCTATATATTTTTATACCTTAATTAATAATGCTTAATTATTAACCTGAGTTTTAATGCAGGCCAAGCACTCAGTTCACTATTATAAAAATGTCAGTCAAACCTGCTTTCAAACATACAAAAGAAAGAATAAAGAGACTAAAACATACCAGCTTCCCTTCTTTTAGGATTTTCATATAACCAACAATGTCTTTTTCAGGTTTTCCAAGGATGTGGTCAACCTAAACCAGCACCTGCCCTGAGATCTTCCCGTTCTGTCCCTGAAAACTTCAATACCCGGTTTAGACCATATAACCCAGAGGAGCGACCTACAACTGCTGCTGGCACAAGTTTGGATAGGCTGGTAAGGCAAAATATATTCCATTTTCAAATTTGTAGAAAAAGCTTGGTAACACTCTTCTGATTTAATAATTTCATAATCACTCTATTTAGCTTCTGTGCCAGCTCTTAAAGTATTCAGTAAGTCTTTTTTCTCTATTGGAAATGGTATAGAATTGCATTGTAGGAGAACAGCATGACTCAGTTTTTATGTATCAGAAATGTTAAAAGAAGATAGTAAACTCTTTCCTGGAGGTCAAAAAACAGATGAGCCATGGCAGGTACTTTGCATATAAAGTCTCTTTCATAAGTGATCTACAGCAATATTTTTATCTTTTTTAATGACAAAAGGTTGTGATAAAGCCATGTATAGAGCCATTTTAGCACCTAGTTGTCTAACTTACACACTTGCAAAGGCACATTGATTTATTTCACTTCTTTACTTAATTATAAAATTACCACTGCATTATTTCCATCCATCTCAAAAACTGACTTTTATCAGCTCAAAGTTCAGTGATCATTAATCTTGCTTTACTTATTCAATCATTTTGGACAAAATTGCTTTAAAATAAGATTATTTTCTTGACTGTCAGTCATTGGATTCACATTTTGGACTTCAGTGGTCCTGTTATTTCTACATCTATAGATTTACAGAGAGCTAACTATTACAGCTGTTAATACCATCTCAGTAATCATCTCTAGGTAAAGCCAATGAGCAAAATTAAAGAGTTGTAAAGCTTCTGAATTAAAACAGCATATTGCATGCCCAGAGGTTATTGGCTGCACACTTGTACAGCTTTGGTCTGTTTTGCTGAAGAGAGTAGTGCTCAGGGCTGTAGCAAGAGTGAGGGGAGAAGAGAACCCAGCTGGAAACAGGTGTAAGTTTCAGGTGAGCTGCACTCCTGGTGGGTGCCAGGCAGGTGCTGGCTGCATTAGGGGATCAAAATGTCTTGCTGTGGTTCTGATCATGAGCCTAAAATGTCTGGAACTTTCTCCAATATGCAACTTAAATCATTGGGCAGGAACCCAAATATGCTAACTCAGATGAGGACCTGGTTATCTTCTTGACACCATCGTTGTTCAGATTCATTTGAAGATCACAGTAGTCTTCCACACTGCCAATTTCCAATTACTTCTATCTAACCTGTATTCTGTCTACTCTACTCCTTCAATTTTCATGATAATTCAACAGGAATATAACATGGTGTTTCTAGTGAAGACATATGATTACCCTGCAGCAAAAAGCAATGTTTCTTAGTTCTCTGCACTTCTGGAAACAGTGCAGTCTGTTTTTCCTTAGAGGAGAAACAGAAAAGATTATTACCTCCATTGTCGACTTAGGTCTTTCTACCACAGCAGGCAGATAACCCAGTGGAATATATCAAGCTAAAACTCTGACTGGCAATACTCTTAATTTTACCCTTTCACTTTAGATTCAGAGAACCAGACCTTCTGTATTGCTCAGAGCAGAGGCCTGGTGAAGTGAAAGGTCACCATTTAGGTTTCAGTCATGTTCTGTCAAAGCTAAAGGTTGCAAACAGCAGAAATGGGGAGAAGAGCATAAAAAGGAAGTCTGGTAGCATAGTTCAGCTTGGATTAGTCTGGTGTTGTAAGAACAGTTCAAACATTTTTGCAACAAAAAAGGCAGATTTAAATGACAATACATATTGACATAAGGAGAATACTTCTAAACACATTAATATCCTTTTTAAATTACAACCTTCCAAATATTGAGCAGCATCCTGAGTGAAAAAGAGATGTGTCCTATGCTGCCAGCCTTTAGAGGCTGTAACTAATGAAAATTGCCAATGCAGATAATTCTTTACAACTCCTAATAACTTCTAGACTTTGAAAGGAGAATTTGTCACCATATGATTCAACTGTTTTGTTCATGCATTATTTCAGAAATAAAGCCCAAACGTTCTAGCATTGCTGCTGCTGCTTTAAAAAAATGTTCAAACCAAATACCTATTTGCTGTTCTTGGTGATGATATTTTAAATGATAACTATTTATGGTCTGTTAGTGATGAGTGTTGGTATCAAATGCATCTTGAAATGGCAGTGATGAACATATTGTCTTGTTCTGGGCTGACACCAGCAATCCCTCAAGCCAGAGATGGCCACTGACCTCATCTGGAGCTAGGGAAGGTTGTTTATGTGGGTTGGAGCAGGAGGCCATATTTCAGAGCTGTAATCCCTTAGCAGCTCTTGGAAGAGGTCACTGCCTGCATCCCACACCAACCTGGGTAATTTTATCCATAAGGACATAAATGCTGCATTCCTGAATTCCTGCCTGAACACCATTCAACCTATTTACATTAGAACTTTAGTATTTCGTGTGCTGAATCATTCCCTGAATCACATATTTCTCTTCATTAACTATAGCCAGAGCCTGGAGGACTAGCTTCATTTAGATCCTCCTAACCCTTGCATTGCTAACAGGACAAAAGGAGAACCCCACTCACAGCAGTTTTCCTGTCTGCACACAGATTGTTTTCTCATGTTTTACCTATTTACATTAGAACTTTAGTATTTCGTGTGCTGAATCATTCCCTGAATCACATATTTCTCTTCATTAACTATAGCCAGAGCCTGGAGGACTAGCTTCATTTAGATCCTCCTAACCCTTGCATTGCTAACAGGACAAAAGGAGAACCCCACTCACAGCAGTTTTCCTGTCTGCACACAGATTGTTTTCTCATGTTTTCATAATACAAATGTACTGCAATATTAGTATTTTGATGGTAGTGTCAAACAGTAAAAAACCCTTTTGATTATATAGATATAAGAAACAAGACTTTTCTCATGACTTGGCTGTTCAGTGTTACATTAATGCTTTTAGAAGTCTATTCTATGGAAGTCCAAACATACAGTTACATAAACCTCAAAAGAAGTGACAAACCACTGTGCTTTTATCTGTCTTTGACAGCATGTCCTCAGAAGAGACCAAGTTCAGAAAACATTTGCTCTGCATTTCAATCTAATACAAACATGTAGCATATCTGAACCAATTTTCTTTTTTTTGCTCCTGTTTATATACCCATTTGTAAGCTTAATGCAGTTGAGCATATTTTGTCAGATATGTTGCACAAAGCAACCCTCATAAGCAGCCTAGGCTGAAATCACCAGGTACTGAACCCATCTGAGAAACTGCTCCTTCATCCTTGACTGAACTTGTGTGTTATGTAGAGCGTGAGCTGAGACATCCCAGGGTATCTAAGACATGGGACAGGCAGGTACAGCACATGGATTAGAGAAGACCAGTATACTTCTGGAGCAGCAGTGGGGAGCTAGCTAGAATACACTGCAGCAGTTCAAGCAGTTCAAGATACTTATGCTCAGACAATTCAACCACACCTTCACAGCACAAGGCTTAGAAGTCAGGCTCTTTGTGAAGTCAATGGAGAGAGACACATCTTTGGAGAGTGATTCATCCCATCTGTCACAGACACCTCTCACGATAGGGAAACAAAAGGCTTGACTGAGATATCCACATATAGATATGCAAGACTGACATGCCTTGGAGTATGTGAGACACCTAGTTGAGCTGGCAGATAGGACAGCAATTTGGGATGCCCATGCCCTCCTGGACTGGCAGCTGAAGGCTGCATCCTAGAAGATGCCCACTATGTGACATCCAAGCAGGAGAACAGAACTGAGCCCCAGCTATTCTCTGTGGGTCCCACTGGGTGGAATTTAGCTACATAGTCACCTAATGCTCTTTGAGGTGCCTGCAGTCTTCAAGATGTCCAAAGGTGAAAACGAAGTTACAGAAGACCTGTCTGGAATTAAGATGAAATATTAAATTCACTTGCTATGCCTATATTTAGGTAACTGTATTCCACCCTATTTCTTTACTGACAGTAACAGAAGAAAAAATTAGGACTGCTCTGATTCAATACAGAGATCCATAGTGCAGGTGTCTATAACCAGCTATCTAAATTTGAAGTCTAGATGACTGTAGTTTTTATTGCTAACAAAGAGATATAAACTCCTTCATTCAGTTGCCTCAGCATGGGTTTAGGCAACTGAATTGAGATCAAATATTTCTAAAGCACAGTTCATCTCATCCTAAAATATACATTTGAACAGCTCAGAGAAATCATTTCATATCCCTCTACTACTTGACAGAAAGTGACAGCCTTAGTCTAGGCACCTAGCAATTACACCTGAAGATCAGTAAATTTAAAACTGTCAAAAAATTAAATAATTTTAACCACTGAACTCACCTCCTTCTGTAGAGCATGATCTAAAGTTTCTCATTTAAAATCAGCTGCTTATAAAGACTTGTTATTTTCTCTGTGGTTGCCTGTTTGGTATAACCTGTGGTTTATTTTGTTTTGTTTTGTTCTGTTTTTCTGTTCCCTGAATCTGTTTCCCTCTTGCTTACCAGAGGACTATCTGGAGGACAATGCAACATGGTGTAAGCTTTAGTATTCTTATTCTTCACCTTCATTCCCATTTGTCTTTGTACAATGCTGGGCAAAACACTTGTTTAAGTTTCATCTTCACCATCTTTACTTTCTGTGTGTCATGTAGACTAAAATGCTAGCAGTTCTTCCTGTAATTTTGCATTCTGGCTGATTTCATTCTGCCCGGTGCCCAGAGCTGCTGATACCTTCCAGTATTTTTCTCTCACCTCAGGAATGATGCTTTATCCCCAGAAAGGAGCATGTATTTATTTCCGCAGGGAACTGAAAGCTGGTGTAAGTTTCCCCATAATCTCAGACCCCACACATGCCTGTGCAGCAATGCAGACACTGCAGTGACATTCAGCTCTGAATCCTGTGCCTGGAGCAATGGAAAGAAGCTCTCTCCCTAGAACTACCCCTGTCTTGTCCAATCTTGGCCAAATCACTCTGCAAGATCTTGATAAAAGTAGATTCCCTTACACTTTACAGCTTCATAAGTTTTTGTGACTGTTAGAGGTCCCTGGTTTCAGACAGAAAACCCTCCTCAGCAGGGCTCATTCAGCACAACCCAAGGGGAAGGCAGGAGCACTGCACTGCACAGATATGCATCATC